ACTCAAGTTACAGGCAGTGGTCCAGGGCTGGCATGGAGCAATCGTGTTCTGGTATGCGGCAGTTGCTCGCTGGTGTCGTAGCTGGCGGCCCGGTGGGTGGTGGTCCATCGCGATGTAAGTGAGGGGAGGGATGAGGGAGTGTGTTGAGGGAGAAGGAACTGACGGTGAGGACGGCACAAAGGCAAGAGCGAGTGGGATGAGAAGACGTGCGTTATTTACGTTGAAACGTTGACTGGAAGCAGAGGACACAGCGTCGAAGAGGGCAATAAGCGGTGTTGGCGAGAAGGACTGTAACGGGGATGCGGGAATGAGGAAAAGGGGTCGGAGGGAAGACGAAAGACGGAAGAACGAAAGACGGAAGAGAGGAAGGCGAGACGGCGTCGCGGTGGAAGGGCCAGCAAACGAAGGCATGAGAGAAGGACAGCTGCCGATTTCCCGAGTCTCAGGCTGTAGCTTTGGTGGTGCCACTGGTGGTCGTCGAAAGTAGAGAATTTCGGCGTTAGGCCTGGCGTTAAAGTAGGCGGAACAGAAAGGAGTGGGCGGTAGAGACGGGATATCAAACAGAAGCAGGAGGGAGGTGAGGTCGTTGTACTACTGCCGTTGTTTCCATCGGAAATTGCCGGTGTATAGTGCCTCTACCCACTCACTGCGATGGACCACCGCCCGCTAGGGCCTCAGGATATCTTCGGCCGCCGACCACGGCCTCTTCACCCATCGCGATACCACATTCCTCCCTCACTCACATCCCTTCCGCCCTCCCGACTACGCTGACACCAAGTCGTCGTCAAAGACGACCGTCACTCTCCCCCTCGCTCCAACTCGCATCGCGCTGCCTTCATAGTTGATCACTGCAAGTGCTATGACCTTGCATTCCTCTTCCTTCCACCCGTCTCATTCCCCTTGCGCCCCACGTCTACCTCCTTACTCATCCACGCCGCTGAGCATTAATGCATTAACAAGTACCTCCCCGCCTGTCGCGTATGCTACAATCACAAACAACGCCATTTCGCCTCTACCTTTTTCTGCTTGTTCATTCCCTCTCCACCGCCAACTTTTCTTCCCTCAACAACCAACAGCAAACTCCGGCCACTCCCTCGCTCACATCCCTCCCTTGTTCCGACTATGCTGACACCAAGTCGTCGTCAATGCCCTACCCTATGTCTCAACCCCAACCCTCACTCTCTCGCCTCCGCTCCCGTCCCACAGCCTTCTTCACATTCCGCGACTTCAAGTGTTATGACCTGCCCTTTTGCCCCACGCCTATGCACCTCCTTCCTCATGCACGCCGGCGCTAAGCCTCTACCTGTCCTCTAGCTATCTTTATATATTACTCAAATGCTCTACTCAAATTATCCGCCGCTTCTCCCCACGCTGTCCCCTCCGCCCTCGTGTCTTTATCCTCACTTCGCGCGCCAACAATTCCTCTCTCCCGCCCTCTTCCATCCTCTTCTCTCAACAAACAACGCTTTTCATTCATCGATCATCATCCCGATCACTCTTATCTTTAACACCTAGCCGTCCCAGGACTCCCAAATCCGTTCCCACCCTCAATTCAAACTAGTTAACTCTCGCCTCACCCTCCCCGCCTCCTCCCCCTCGTCCCACCGCCTTCTTCACATTCCACGACTCCTACAACGAAAGCCACACACGCGGGAAATCGGCAGCAGCAATATATTATATCCTAGGTGCGTCACGTTTCTCTCCTCTCTTCCCCTTGCTGAAACTTTCACAGCGACGACTTCTCCCGGATCCCCTTCCCTTCGTCTCTCCAGCCTTCTCCTTCTCCCGAGTCCTTCGCCCACCCCCACTTGCCCCGGCCGCCTCCAAATTCGGCTTTACCGCTCTCTGATTATCTACTCTGTACTACCCCCGGGACAACGCTCGTCCCTTCTTGTCAGACCCCGCCCTGGTCTGCCCGCCACACTACGCTGCTGTGTCCTCACTGCCTTCCAACTCTCCCCCTCGCTGCCTCTTTCCGACCGCCGTCCCGCCGCCTTCATATTCGATCACCACAAGTGCTATGGCCTTACATTCCCCTTCCCCTTGCGCCCCACGCCTATCTCCTTCCTCACGCACGCGGCGGCGGCTAAACCTCGACATCTACCTCTCCGTCTATCTATACTACAACCTCACGCCCTCATGCTTCACTCAGCTTGTCCGCCGTCATGCCCCCAACCCACGCCACCACCGACTCGACAAACCCTCGTCTCTCTTAGACTCCTTTCTCCGCCTCAACGTCGTCGACTTTCACTCGCTGCTTCTGCCTCAACCTCTCAAGCAACTTCGATGCATTGCTTGAATACATGTTTCGATCAAGTGGGGCGGAGACAACGGCGCGCCTAACAAGCCTCTCTCCCTCCCTTCCTCCACTGACGCTTGCTTTCTTAGGTGTTGCTTCCATTCACGTAGGCTTTCATTTAGCAGGCTGTTCGACGCCAGGGTACCGACCTACAATATATAAGACGCCGCGACGGTCAAGCGCAGCCGATGCATCATCCATCACCGGCTTCGACCTCTATGACCACGGCTGCAACAACAACTCAAGAAAGCGTACGGCTCCGACTACGCGATAATTGAATACGTACGTACGTCCGTGCATTCTCTACCTCGTTCTCCGTTTCGATAGCTCATTACATTACTCCTTCATATAGTGACCAAGACCGCCTCTGGTCCTCTTTCGCCCTCGCTCGCGGCCGCCGTGACCGCCACCCGTCTGCATCAATTGCGCTCAACGTGAGGCTGCATGCTTTCAACTCGGCTGGCACGCCACATTCTACCCCGTGCTTCTGCTGTTGCGTGCAACTTCGTTATCTCCCCAATACAATCACCCTCATCAATGACCATAAGATACGAATTCGGCAAACGACGAGGGTACGGTGTACTGGGGTCTCTTCTGAGCTGCGGAAGAGTGGAGCTGGAGACGATCAGAGTGAGCTGCGGGGAGGTCAGGGGAACGAACGGGGTTGGAAGGAGGGAGAGAGGTTGTAAGTGTCACTGTGCCGACGATACAATGCGCGCGCGAGAGGGAGTTAATGCGGAGATGAGGGAAGCAGCGGGCGGGCTGGTGGGATCGTGCTATACGGAGGATGACAAGACAAATAAGGGCGAGAGGCGGAGAAAGCTCTTTAAGCTGAGGGAGGGGATAGACGACAAGATTCCTCCTTAGGACAGGGACACACGAATATCAAGCTATGTCCAGTCTCGGCTGGCAATCGATAACTACGGTTGGCTTTCGACTGGTCGATGAGGAGGTAGCGGAGGAGCAGAGCACTACAGTGCATGAAGGTGTGTGCTTTTGACTTGTGTTTTTCCCTTCTTCGCCTGCTAACTTCTTGCCCCCAAAGCTGCCCTGCTGTCCTGCCGCTCTTGCCGCCGAACGCTCGACACCTCGTCGCCGATTATTATGCTTTCGCCTTAAGATATACGGGCATCGCATCGGAAACATCCACAGCTCCGACGCCGCCGATGACCTCCCCGTCCTCTCAAGCCCTCACCAAGCCCGGGTCCTGAGGTCATCATCCCAGACCATCATGATATGTACGACATGCTTGCGCCTCGCAAAGCCATTCTCATTTTTTCTGGCCCTACCAAACTCACTCAGTCCGACGACGATGACTCAAATGTGCCTGTATCTATCGTTCGTCACTCGAAGCCTCCAAAAGTCTACCAAGTATGCTTCGATCGAAAATGTCTGTCAGCTCGAAATTGACTGTGTACCTCCTTGTCCGACACTGCCATCTTTCGCAGCTGCCTCCTCTGCCTCTTCTACCCATCCCAATCGCGCAACAATTCTGGCATCGTTATCGAGCGCGAAATCATGTATTGCTTGAGCTGCACGTAGTGCCATTGTATTCTTACGATGGGAACTGTTGGCACCGCATTAATGGGGTAGTGGTAACCTGGGTCGTTGCCATATGAAGTCGGCAAGTCTCGATTCGACCCGCCGGGGGTTCGATTCCCCCTTAATGCATGGTCAAAGGTAAAACATGTTTTGCTCTTATTGCTGCCTTTTCCCATCTTCCATCTAGTTCATCATTGCTAGGACATGGACCAAAACTGCCTCATTTGTGTGGTGTGCTCCCATTTTGGTATATAACTTGACAGTCGCTCGCCTGGCCAGACTAGTTGATGATTATGTGATGCATCTGAAGGTGAAGTAATTGGAAAGAGGCACATACATACTTGAACAAGATTCTCTCATTGGATGGAAATCAATTCAAGACACAATGAACACACCTGCTGACTGCAATAGCGAGGCCATGACAATACATCATCTTTCTTCAATCGGTTCTGGCATTTGTACATCTCACTGGTCATCATCGTTTTGAGCAATAATCCCTGCGGAACGTTCGATATTGCCAAACACTCCATTTACATGGTCGGTCTTTCTACCCATTGCCCCGGGGTGTTCCACCGACAGTAGCCAGCAAACAGATGACGGTATTCTGTCTCTGCAGGCTTCAGTTTTCCATTTGCGTGGATTCAACCATGGGTTTTTATCTCTTTTGTAGACAGACACTACAACAAAAGAGTCCTCGCAGTTACGGTTGTTGTACCTCCATCTGCTGCTCCATGAAATGGTGGTCCCCAAGTGCCAGGGGTAAATACCAATCCATTAGCTTGTTTCTGTATACCATCTGGGTGCAGTTCTACAACCTCTTCACTGACAAGCTTCCAACTCTGGACCATCCAGTAATCTTGCAAAGACATGATAAGTAAAACAGATATTGTAGACGTTCCAGAGCACAAAACCATGCAGAACATAGACCAAACTGTGTCTAACAGCTGTGCGTATAGTATAGTATAGTATAGTACGCAGATTAGAGAAGTGTGATAACACTCAAAGACAACGTGGAAAGTGACAAGAGCGCTGAAAACAAGAACCTTGGGAGTAAATGGCACTTGGTGAGGGCTGTAGTGATGCAAAAGGCTTGAAAATTGGCTAGAAATGTGCGTAGAGGTATCGGGAACAGTTCTGGTTCGCCAAAACCACGAAAAAAGGGCCTAACCGGGAATTGAACCCGGGACCTCCTCGATGTCACGTGACCACCGGGTTCAATTCCCGGATGGGCGACCCTAACAAGGAATCATACTACTAGACCATCAGGCCGATGGAAAGTGATCAAGTAGAACGTATCCGATAGTTGACTGACCTATTCCCTTGATTGTCCACCATGATTGCCACAGTCGTCTGCCTCTGCCTCTGACTCTTGACGTCGTTCTGGACCTATCATACTCCAGTTCTCCTCGCACTAGCTTACTGTACACCATGCATTTGGCCAGTCTCACACCATTGATCAAATGCCAGATTTATGTTCCAACTTCCAAATTCGTCAGGCAATCGACCAAGCAATGGACTGCATAAGTATATGATATACGGCGGGCTGTGGGCATGAGATTGAATCCATTGACATTCACAAGTCTCAAATTCAAGGAAGTTGGATGGCCGCAACCAGTTCGCCCCAAGTTCGCCCAACCTGCCAGAGGTCGGCGCTTGTCTTCGATTTATATCCATATTCACCATCCCGTATGATAGCTGATGGCCTCTCAAAGATCTCTCACCCGGACTTGGGGTCTCGATTGCTTCTTTCTCTGTGAAGACAGTTGCCGACAATCAGCAAATCAGTAAGTAAGCGCCACTAGCACTTCCGAACCTCTTCTTGCAAACCATCCGAAAGCCTAAATGAAGTATGTGCAATGCCTGCTTTCAATACCACTATTCATGGCCTATGACCACAGAGTCGCCGCAATTCAAGCCGAACCCGTTTGGTTCGATCTCAAGGGCGGAGTAAAGAAAGCGTGCGCTCTTATCAGGGAAGCAGCCTCGAATGGCGCTGAACTCGTTGGATTCCCGGAATCATTTATCCCTGGATATCCTATGGCTATCTGGGCGCAACCTTTCAATCCCGCATACTTGGCGAAATACCAGAAAAACTGTCTCTCAGTTCAATCGTCCGAATTTCAAGAAATCCTTGAGGCAACCAAGGAGGCTGGGATTTGGCAAATCTTCATGCTTCAGTAGCCAATTATGACCGCTGAACTTGACCAGGGTTGTTATTGGATTCTGCGAATTGGACGGCGGCAGCATGTACGCCGCTCAAGTAGTCATCAACTCTGAAGGAGTAGTCGTTCTACATCGACGTAAACTCAAGGTAGTGTGCCCTGGAATCCGTATGACCTATCAGTCAATTCGCCAGTTCTCCAGGCTACAGGACAAGAACGTACTCTCTGGGGAGATGCTCCCGCCGATTCCCTGCAAAGTGCGGTCAAAGGCCCGGGTGGAGTCATTATCGGTGGCTTAAATTGCTGGTACGTTCTCCACAAGTTATCGTAACGGTTCTGACGTTTGGTGGTAGGGAGCATCTTCAGCCGTTGCTACGATTCCACCACTACAGTCTTGGCGTGCAAATCCATGTCGCCAGTTGGCCGTATTGTGATTCGGTCGCCAATGGCGCACCTCCTGCGTTCTCGTCGGACGCACAAATTGTCCAGGCCAAATTCGCAGCTCTAGAGGGTCAAATGTTCGTCATTTCGAGCACTCAGATGCTCAGCAGCAAGAATGCAGAGTTATGCGGGTAAGTGCGTAAGAATCAAGCTAGGCATGTCGAATTGACTCGGCGCCGTCTAAAATCTAGCGTGAAAAACTCGGGACCCTGGGAAATGCCGGTATGCAGCCATACTTCTCTAGTACAATCTGCGCATTGATTGTCTGTTATGTTAGATGGGCGGCGGCTTCGCTGCAATTTATGGACCAGACGGGACACAGCTCACCTCAACAACTTCACCGGACCAAGAGACAATTTTATATGCAGACATTGACCTGGATGCGGCGAGAACAGCTAAGCTGGTAGCAGATCCAGTTGGGCATTAGTGCGTGGTTTTCACGTACGTAGCGACGTTCCTGATACAGGTCATAGCTCTCGCCCGGACCTTCTGACTTTGAAGGTTAACACTCGTCCGAATCCATTGGTATCGTATGAAGGACCTGGGGCGGAAAGCACTCTCCTTGGTCGACTATCGCAGAGTCGGGCGTAAACCTAGACTCAGTAGCCTGCGTTGACTAGCGAGTCTGTGGAGAAAAGCGAAAAATTATGTGTGGATAAAAAGCAAAGCAAAGCAGTGTCAGCGATGATACAGATATTACTATTCTAATCGACCTTGAGATGCATCGACGTATTCTCTATATGTCCGTCAGTAAAAGGATTCGTGTCCGACGCGCTCGAGTTCTCTGAGGGCGAGTGAAGCCGGTCCAATGTATTGGGGGAACGCTGCGGAGACCACTGAGATGGCGAACCCAAAGAATACGGTGTTCCCCAAGCCTCACCATCCCCGTCCGCCTCCGTTGAAGATGCAGGAGAGGCTTTGTTGGATGAAGGATCAGGGAAATCAAAGCGCTGATTAGACTGCATGAGTGGGTCGAGCTGAATGTCAATGGGGTCTTCCAAATCGGGTGGTTCGTCCAAGAGGTAGGCGGCAATGTCCGATCGCACACGGACCTCTTTGACAGGGCCTCTCAATTAGGAAGGTGGCTTCGATCAGCCACTTTTGAACCGTGCAATTGGGAACTTGTAAATTGTGGATGCGTTTCTGTATGTATCGCCCCAGAATCTTGGCTACCCTCCCATTCTTGTATAAAATACGCGTTTCTGTTGCCTCAGAATAATATATTTCGTAGCCAAAGAAATGTAGGAAGCTGAATGATCTCTTGATGCTGAGTAAGCCGAAATCACGTTGTACGTGAAAATTACGCGACGCGAAGTCGCGTCTCCCGCTTTCTCTTCTCTTCCACCATCTGCCCGTTTCCAGCTGCGCTATAACGCTATGAACTCTTCCTCGTATCATGACTCTGGCATGCCTGCAGCATCTCACTTTCATTCACCACCTCAAGACGTCGACATGCCCGATGCGACTTTAGATCCAAATGTACAATATCAGCCGCATCCTGTCCCCAATCCTGGCCTGCAATCATTCCCAGCTCCCTCCTCTAGTCGACCGTTTCTTCCTCCCATCGACACAGATCTACCTCTGCGATCTTTCGAGAATACCACTACGTTTCAATCGCCGTCCGCACTATTTGGTAGTCTTCCCATAGCAACTTCATCTCGGGCTTCTGCGAACGTCCAATCCACTGTTCCCTCACCTTCTCTGCCAAGTCCTGGTTCTGGATGGCTTGGTTTCTCGCCCTCCCCAACACAATCCTCCCCATTGTTGCCCATTCCCTCGACACAAGAGCTTCTCGATGAATTTGCACAAAATAAGATACAGTCCCGTCAGAGCGCCACTCAGACCTGGGAACTCCACTGTACCCGATGCCCTACATGGGTCAACATGAACCTTTCTACAGCCCGACCGTTGCTTTCTGCAGGGCAGTTTACCCCTCTGCATAATCATATCAAAGGGAGAAACTGCGGCGCGAATAAAGCACGGTCCATTTCCGGAACTCCTTCCCTAAGCCGACGAGCTTCGGTTGCATCGTTTGCATCACACCCCTCTCCGTCCTCAACGACTTCGTCTCCCAATCTCTCTCGCGGCCCTTCTGTACCACCGTCCCCCAATCTCTCTCGCGGCCCTTCCGTACCACCATCCCCATTGATATTCTCCCCGCGTGTCGGCCCATCTCCGCTCACCTCCAATGATGTTCCGCTGCCGTTCACGTCGCTTTCGTACGACCATCGGTTTGCGCAGAGGTCAGTGATTCTCGCTTCCTAATTTGAAACCTTGCATCGTTGACGAACTTTATGTTCCAGTACATTTCAGTCAAGCTCCGCTTCATCGTCTCAGGGTCTTCCTGGCCCAGCATCGGCTTCACCTCCATCAGTTCCCGACCCTACCGCTCCGAAAACATGCCCCGGCGTTGTTGTACAATGGCCGCTGGATTTAGACATCAAATTGAACGAAAAATTCCCTTTCCATCGCATACCAATTGGTCGCTCGAATGGTGATCTTCCGTTTTACATCGAGCTACACGATCGTGGCGACAAGATCATCGCATGGTCCAAGACTTGCACTGGCTGCCCAACCCTCTTCGCAACCCACTGCCATGAATGTGATCGGATTATTCCGCGCCTGGATAGTTTAGCTGGGATCGCAGAACACGCAGAACGAGGAACGAATTACAAGTATCTCAATCATAGCCAATTACAAGAATTGTTAGTGGAACGAAATAAAGAAAACAACGAGTTAAAACTCCAAGTACGCTCAGTCTCTCATTCGTCCTTTCACAGTCAGCTAATTTGTATCCAGTCTCTCAACATGAGCCGCCAACTCGCAACTTTTGCCCGTAAAATGGGTGACTATGAACGGCTCATGATCGCGATAGCAGAGAACGATGTCCCCCGAATCAATGCGCTCCTCAGCACGGCAATTCGTAATGGAGCCAGTGTCAATACTATCATTGCTCAAATCACTGAAGCTGTTCGAGGTTTGCGTTCGACCAAGGGCTTCACGCAACTTGAACATGACCTCTCCCTCCTAATCTACCGCATCGGTGGTCAGTCTCTACTATATTCTCTAAACCACGCACTCGGCCTTCCTTCTCTTCGCACAATCGGCAACTCCGCACACTTCGTAAAAATCACCCCTTGCTTCGGACCTGTAACTATCGACGTTATTCGCGCAAACATCAAGAAAGTGATCCTCGAGCCCCGCGCACAGGTTGGCGCCACGCAGAAGAAGGCTGTGACGTTTATGATGGACGAGGTTGCTCTTGAGGAACACCTCGACTACTTTCCGCTCCAGAACAAAGTCGGCGGCCTCTGCCAGAAGCATTCTGGCCAAGTACCTATAACACTCTCAACCTACAGCTCAGCATTGACGATTGTCGACAAGCTGCGGGACGGTTCCGTACATTTCGGGAAAGAGATGGCTGTGGTTGCTGTTCGGTTTGGCGACGAGAAGAATATCTATCCGATCCTTGCTTACCCAACATGCAAGCAAGAGACAGTTGCCGACATGGAAAAAATCTATGTTCTTCTGATGCAGGCGTGGGAGGAGCTTGGGGAGGAATTGTACGGGGAGATCAGGAACTTTGCCACAGATGGTGACGCATTGCGACGCAAAGTCGGTTACAAAATGTTTTGCAGAGAAGAATTGCCCACAGATCACCCCCTC